ATTTCCATCGCTTTTCCTTCACAAGCCGTGAATCACAGCCTTTCATGGTTTTCTATCAATAACGTTCACTTTGTCTCGTTCATTATCGCTCGTTCGCTTCCACTCGATCACTCATGCATTTGAAGAAATAAACAACTCATTGCGTCTACTCAATTGCAAGCTTACGAAAATTTATTTCCCATTTTAGTTTCATTTTCCACTTGAAAAAGAGTGGGAAAAAATTGGTTGTTTCATCAAAATTCGTTTTTGTCATTTACACCCATTCGCTACATAAAAAATCGCTCGCCGCACAATTCCCTCCGCGCATTCGTTGTTTTCCAAAACAAAATAAATTCCATTTCGTGTTTTTGGTGTGAGTGTGTGTGTGTGTGTGGTGTGGGGTGAGGTCATTCGGAATTTGAGTGGTTAGCTTCATCAAATCAGCACCCATGTGCTTCGAATACAATTACTTTAATGCTTTAATTGAATTAGACATGTGGATTATAATCAACACCAACGCGAAACATTCGGCCGCCTTTATTTAGAAGCAACACCAAAAAGTGGTGAAGAAATAAGTCACGCGAAATTTAAATCTATATATATATAAAAGAGAATGTGTGTCTGTCAGAAACGACTTGGAGGCCAAACGCGTGGTCCGATCTGGACATGCTGCACATCATTGGAAAGGTCTTGGGCCGGTGGGTGACATAGGCACCATCATGGTCCATCACGGTCCATCATGGTCGAGTTAACACGACTTAACACCATTTTCACATATGAATAGTCAATATAGGTATCATATGAGAGGCCTTGGAACGGAGATGAACATGGACACCATTTTGCGATTAGCAGCAATTTTAATTTATTTCTGATATTGCTGACATTAAAATGTTGCAAAACTGTACATTTGCTGTTGGCAGTGTGACCAAGTCCAGAAAAAAAAACAGTTGATGCACTTGCAATTTAATTGTGAACAAAATGTGTGGGAACAAAATGTCGGGAATATAATTTAACCTCTATTTATTCCTCTCTCACTCTCTATCTCACGCTCTCTCATTCAAACTGACAATGTTTTGTAATCTGATCCGTTTGTGCAAATGGGGTAAGGCCAATAAAAAATGAGAGTGATAAATGATCTCATTCAGTAGAATAATCAGCTTTTTTTTCCTTTCTCTCTCTCTCTCTATCTCTCTCTCTTCAATAGATTCCAAAAAGCTATTGGCTTCTTTTCTGTTGGCTTACTTTTCTGTTTGCAATCGAATTCAGAATAAATCTGAATTTATGCAACGAATTTGAATTCCGGGCCAGCATTTAAAATGCTGGGAAAAAAGTTTTGGAATTGTTGGCCATTGGCTCTCTCTCTCTCTCTCTCTCTCTCTCTCTCTCTCTCTCTCTCTCTCTCTCTCTCTCTCTCTTGTTCGAAAATTGTGCTCACATACATACACACACACGAGCAGCATACACTCGGCCGTAATAATGGAGAGGCAATAACCACCATTCGGCTTAATCAAATGAATGGAAAATATTGGAATTGCACATCTCTATTCGGCACTGGCCAAGACCAGAAATAAAAACAGTTGTTGCACTTGCAATTTAATTGTGAGCGAGCATAAAAATCAATTCAAATTCAACTGAAAGCTCGTTTTTTACTCTGACCAAGTGACATATTTCGGAAGCGAGACTGAGAATGCAGGCAAATGAACGAGAGGGAACGCAGAAAAAAAAGAGTGAACGAGAAATCAAAATAAATTGCGCCTGGGTGAGAGCAAAGAGATAGCGATAATACAACGGCGACAACAACAACAACCACAACAACAAAAATGCGCACATGAAGGCATAAAATAAATCAATTTAACTGTGGCACAACATGACATTTATGGGAACAACAAGTCAATTGGAAGAAAGCCATCGAAAGCAACTATTGCAACTGTTTCTCTACCCTTTGTTACGATTAGTTATATTTTTACGCTATTTATAACGAATGGAGAGGGAGAGAGAAAAATATTTACCGCAAGCACAAGTTATTTATATAAAAAAAGATGTACTTTATTAGTTTAAAATAATAAAAATAATCGCACAGCCCTCGCCCACACACACATATCGTTCGTGAGCTGCATGAGAAAAAAATGGTGGTTTTTCAAAGAAGAAAACAATAAAACGGAGAATGAATGAGATACGACAACGAGAGCAAGAGAGAGAGCAAGATATGGGATTGAATAACGAAATTGACCTTATTTTTAACATTGAATAAAACCACAGTCTTTATTCAACTGAAAAACTGGATAATCATTATTATATATAATGTTGTCAATGGCCAATGCCGAAAGGCGACATGCTTGCCGCTCTAATTATATTAGCGTGTACGTATTTCGATTGTGTTAATGAGCGTGCAAAGAGAGAGAGAGAGCGTGCTCTCTTGTCCATCCGTCGGCATGCTAGCGCGCGAACGCCTTCGCTTCCACAATTCCAGGCGACGAAAAGCTAAAAACCACCGAATAATGTCGGATTAAAGCTATTAAATGCGCACACGGATACTGTTTACGTTCATGACGAACAAACGAATGCGAGATGGATAGAAAAAGAAAGGGGGAGAGAGATTAGCAAAACTACCACCGCAATCAATTAATTACCATAGGGTATTTAAAACGTAAAGTCTTTACAACGCTCTTCAATGTCTCTTTTTCCATGTCGTCCCTCTCGTCTATTTCCCATTCATTCCTCGTTTGCACGTAACACTCGCTATTTCTTTTTTACCTCTTTTCGCTCTATCGTGAGAGTCTCGCTCTATCAAACTTTCTCTCGTTGTGTCGATTACTCAATCTTTTTGTCTCTTCGTATTTCATTCCCTCTCTTCAACTCCTACTCTCTCTCTCTCTCTCTCTCTCTCTCTCTCTCTCTCTCTCTCTCTCTTTCTCTTTCTCTTTCTCTTTATATCTCAATCTCAATCTCTATCTCCTTCCCTCGGATCTCCATCGCTTTCTCTTTCAATATCCCGAAACTCTCTCTTTTACGCGTGTTATTTCGGACGTTCCCACAATTTCTCAAATTCCCATTTCAGACAGACACACACAACACCGGCGGAAAAAAAAATCCCGTAGTTCATCGCGTGCGCTCACTTTAAAATGCAATTTCCAAGGCTTTAATCTGAAATCCATTTGTATGTTAATGCAATTAACCACTTGAAATGAAGCGTATCGCATGTTCGCAATATTATTTTCGCTTTTTTGGAACAGGCACACACAAAGCATATATCTAATTGACTGGTGAATCTGCGAATGTTCTCGTAGCATCGCCGTTGCCATAACAATTTTGTGCAATCCATATTTGCATTTAAAATAGTTGAAGTGCCGAATAGAGATGTGCAATGAATATTTTCCATTCATTTGATTAAGCCGAATGGTGGTTATTACGGCTGAGTGTATGCTGCTCGTGTGTGTGTATGTATGTGTCGAAAACAACAACAACAATGACAAATAATGACAACATTTTCTATACACAAACACACACACACACACACCGAACAAAAGTTTTCAGCATTGCTGGGCATTAGTTGGAAATTCAAAACACAAAGTCATTATAGATTGGTGTTTGTTAATCCCGTGTTATTCGAATGCAATATAGCCAATTGCCAATGGCCAAACAATTCCAAAACTTTTTTCCCAGCATTTTAAATGCTGGCCCGGAATTCAAATTCGTTGCATAAATTCAGATTTATTCTGAATTCGATTGCAAACAGTGAGTAAGCCAGCAGAAAAAAAGTTAATAGCTTTTTGGAATCTATTGAAGAGAGAGATAGAGAGAGAGAAAAAGGAAAAAAAAGCTGATTATTCTACTGAATGAGATCATTTAACACTCTCATTTTTTATTGGCTATACCTCATTTGCACAAACGGATCAGATTACAAAACATTGTCAGTTTGAATGAGAGAGCGAGAGATAGAGAGTGAGAGAGGAATAAATAGAGGTGAAATTATATTCCCGACATTTTGTTCCCGCTGAATGTGGAACAAGGAAATCATAAAAACGACATAAAACGCATTTATATCGATTATAGTCTGTTTAAATGGTGTGACACACACACACACACACACACACACACTCATACACGTATGAGTGCCATGAATGTTGAGTTGACAACAATAAGAACCACATGCCGATTTTACCAAACGGTAATTACTTTTAACGCAACATAATTTGTTCGCGTGCTGTTCGGATGTTGGACCGCGAAATTTTCATTTCGGGGCCTCGTGGAAGGCGAAATGTTATTTTTCAATACTCATGAGTGCCGAGGCCCATTTGTCGTCGGAAATGAAATGACGAAGATAAATAAAGAAAGAGATAGAGAGACGGAGGCATAGAGGAAGAGAAACAAAGACATAAAGAGAGCAAAGTCTCTGGTGTGCAATAAAATTATGGCAATAAAAACGCTTGAAAATATGACAATTTCGGAGGGTGTTTATGGCAAATAAAATCAATTTCCACCGCTCAAGATCATCAACGCGAGACCGCGTTTTGTGCAAGGGAATTCAAACAGAAAGACAAACCAATATAATTTGCTTTTATTTTATTTTATTTTTTCGGTGCGACTAAAATCATAAACACATATACATAAGTATTGAAGCACACATACACAAAATGAGCGTATCTGTCATCTTGAATGACTGTTTCGGTTCTAAAATTGCCAGACCACTTGTTTTTGCGTAATATTTTGCCAGATGCTCATTTTTGTCATCGCATCAATAAATGTGTTGTTTCGGATTCTCGTTCTTCCATTTTTCCACTTTTTTGGCTCTTACTCATGCCTTTTCCCCTTTTTTTTCTCATTCTCTCTCCCTTTATCTTTCCTTCTCCCTCTCTTTCCCTGTCTCTCTTTTGCTCTTTACCTTTCTCCGTGGCTTCAAGCCACTGGCTCGTCGGATTGAGCAATGAATGCAATCCATTCATCAATTTATCCGACGCTTGTTTTGGTATCGAACGACTTTTTTTCATTCATTTTTTCTTCTCTCTTTTTTTCCTTCATAGTTTTATTAAACGGTACCGCCACCACCACCAGCACTACCGCCAACAAAATACAACAACAGCCCGAATAATCATATTTCGAGTGTGGAGCGTGCGTACGCGGCTCGGCTCATTCAAGCACTTCATATGCGGCTGTTGAATATTTAAATTTAAAACGTGTGAAAACAACGGTAATATCATTTACACGGACGGGACACAGGTAGAAAGAGCGTACGGGGAAAAAGAACGCAGCACGAACAGCAACAACAATAACGGGGGGTGAAAAAACAACCGAAGCAATAACAACATAATCATCGATTTTACATTCACATCAATCAGTTTACGAAGACGATAAACGACAAAAAAGTCAACGCTTTCAACAACAACAACAACAACCAAATCTAAGTGAATAAAAAACAGAATTTAATATATAATTCGAATCAAACAGTGCAGATTAACGGAACGACTACGACGACGCAGAGCAAGAGCGGAAGCAGGAAGAGTAAAACGGTGAATGCAAAACGGGGGCCACATTCGCAATCGATGACGTAAAACGAATTGCGGAGAGACAGACAGACAGACAGACAGACAGAGAGAGAGAGAGAGAGAGAGAGAGAGAGAGAGAGAGAGAGAGAGAGAGAGAGAGAGAGAGAGAGAGAGAGACCAACTGACAGAGGAGGCGGAGAGTGAGAGAGATAAACGGAGTGCAAGAGTGGATTGTGAGTGAATGCACATAAAAGTGCGTCACATAGCCACTCAACAAGGACTTGATATTCCACATTACAACCAAACCGAAGCGGAACGAGAACGAGACACACTGTGTGTTGTACACGAATGGATATGTGTTTAGTGCTTATATTGACTGCTATTTGCCGTGTTTAATGAAAAAAAAAAATATTCGAAGAAGATACACACATTCCAAACACAGCGAAATAAAACTATTCGCACGTAGTTTCATGTGCATATTTTATCGTGTTTCATTGCTATGTTGTGTATCTATGTGAGTGAGTGAGTTTTTTTTTCTTCTGTGTCTATGACGAAATTCCTCCAACAAGTGTTTCCTCATATAACTATCAGCATTTTGGTCTATGTGCAAAAGCATATTTTTTGTGTACACAGCTGCTGTGTGCTGAATCACGCCACTCATTAGTCTCTCGTTGGTGATTTGGAATTTTTGAGATCGCGTCCCCTTTCACAAACAACACCAGCTAAAACGCTGAATACATTCTTTTCGGCCAATCCCCGCGAGCACGTTTTCGCGAACTATTTTGCCACCAACAATCCAACACAATGGCAACAGCCTACGATCGACAGGTAAATATTTCTCTTTTTTTCCCCCACAGTATTCACATATTGGAAGTGTGTATGTGTGTGTGTGTGTATTGATTGTTATCACTTTAATGCCATCAATCAAAATTGAATTTTACTTTATCGAAGAGATTATCTTACGGCCAGATATCAGCTTTGCTTATCAACTTTACTTGGATGCTTTGTTTTTTCTTTGACTCAGCAAATGAGCACGGTTTTCGTCGACTCAAACTCATTCACCGTTTTCTTCGTCTCAAATTTCGCATTTTCAAATATTTACACAGGAAAAAAGAGAAGAAAACAGACCGGCTGTTCGGTTTGAAAAAATAGATGGCTTTGTTTATTTTAACAATTTCAATATTATTTTAACTGACGAGCTTCAGATTTCATTCGCGTTTGCACTGTGTTTTTCTTGCATATTTTCGAAAAATTCAACGCATTTCCAATCAAAACCTTTTCAACGAAAATCAACAATTTTTTACTATGGAAGTTAGGACTTGTTCAGCGCATTCGGACATTTCTAGTGGAGATGAACATTTCTCCGACGAATGGTCTTCCGACGACCGTTTTTCTGACATAAACGAGCATTTTTTTTCTAACGAAATTTCGAATTTATCCAATGGCAATAAGGTTTTTCCCAAAGGAAACTCACATTTCTTCATGGAAAATGCGCATTTCCAACGAAAACACCAATTTCTTCATCAAAAATGGTTATTTCTTGGGATGGAATACAATTAAAATCCCTCAAAAATAATCATTTTTCCGTGAATACATGTCGAATTCTTGATTGGTACCGTAAACTTGAAAGAAGTTTACCAAGTTCTAAAGAATTTCTACGGATTTTTCGTGAAATTTTTACTTTTTTTTTCAAATAAATTTATAGGCGATGAAGTCTTTTATATCGAGGAACACGTAGATTTTCGGTTCATTTTTGGAACATGAATAAAACAACTTCATGAAACCTCTCACAGACGTGGTCGACAAGAAACCTCTGGCAGACTTGCTCGACACTTTTGATCTTTATCAAAGTGTTACCGAAATAAATTACACGTGCGCTAAAGCAACACGACATTTCTCGGCAAAAGAAGTACTTTCGTCTTTGGCACATGTGTTTTTGCCACAGAAAATAGTGCTGCACTCGTCCATTTATTCTTCTTTTTTACCCAATTGGAATTTAGTGTTTTTAAAACACTGTTTTTTCTTCAAACATTTTCGAGTGTTTTTTCACAACACATTTTTCCATCCTTCGAGACCGAATGGAAAATCGAGACCAGAAAAAAACGAAACAGACCCATTTCTACTGCACCGTTTTCATAATGCAGATTCTCACGGTCGAATATTCTATTCTGGTTTATATCAATCGAAAATCGGTCCACTTTTTATCGAATGAATAAATTATGCTGATTTTCACATGTTCACACTCAGCTTGAATGTCTCAGCTGAAGGGGGGGGGGGGGGCATTTTCCTTCGTTTCCCATATGATACGTGTGTTGATACATTTTGGGCGGAATGAAATTTGATTCGAGTCATAATTAAATTATGACCATAATCATCATCCATTCATTATCATTCTAATAATAAATGTTTATTAATAACACTCATTTCTGGGCAATACGTCTTAATTTATCTCAAAATGAAAATGGTTAAATCAATTAAAGGATTTTAAAAAGTCGAGGCTGAGATTAACACAGCTGAATGGTTGAGATAGAGTGCATTTAATGGACCTAAATGAAAAGTGATGGTTCAGAGGTATAGGAATTCTGACTAATTAAAATGGAATGGAGAATCCCTTCTTTCAACCAAATGGCTGTCATCACAAACTGCGATTCACAAACTGCGATTCACATTTTGCGATTCGTATTTTTTTTCCCACAAAAGAGTGAGGAAAATCAAATCTTCGATAAGAAGCGACAGGAGTAGAAAACAACGACAAAAATATTTATCCCCATAAAAAAACGTCAGATTATTTTTCCAGTATTAAATTCTGATGAGTTAGTAGATTTTCGAAAAGGTTCATGATTTAAGCATCTCGAATGGAGTTTTATTATGATTTCCATCCATGACCATTCCATAAATGAAATGCGACACAAGTACCGAATACACATGAGAGAATGCACATAATACTAAGCTTTAGTAAATCTCTGAATCATTGAAAAAAACAAGACCGCAGAGTGTCGCTTCGCTCTGCGTTCATGTGATTTTAGTTACTTAGTCTATTTTGTTGTTTCACAACAAACTATTTTTTGGCGCACTACATGAAATGTATTCCATTAAAGTAACTTTGAAGTGATATATTTATTTGCAAAATGAATTACAAGATCTTGGTTTTATTTCTTTTTTAAAATATACTGCCTTTGGTTTAAATTAAATAAAAAAATATGAGCATAAAATTCAAATTCACCATAATTTGTTTCAGGACTAAAAAAGTATTGAGAAAAAAAACAGATTAGTAGCTCTACATTTCATGTAGTGCAAAAAAAACGAATAAATTCCCAGATGAATCCTCTTCACTTTAATTCGAAATCTCTTCATCATCACCTTATAAACGACAATTTAATGACCATATTTCCAGCTCAAATCACTCTTTTCCCACCGTTTAATGGCAGAAAATATTTTATTTAATTGTCGCATAAATGGTAGTTTTTTGCGAAATGCTGTTTTTCGCTTGGATTTTCCTTTTCTTAAAACATCGCTTTTCAACCAAATGTGGTTTTCAAATCGCTTAGAATGGTTAGAATAGAGAACATTTTTCTGCTGAGAAAAAAAAAATTGAAAAAAATTTTCTGTTCAGAAAAAGAAAATTGAAATGTAGAATTTAATGAGAGCAAAGCATCCATCACTTGTCATTCTTTAGACTCATGTGCCGTTTCTCCAGAAAGTTTGGTGTTATTCATTCAAATTCACCCATAAAAATGTTTATGTTTTCTTTCATGTTTGCGATGACTCATCAAAGTGAAGAAACGTTTTATTTTTATTCCAATGTTGCAAAAAGGAAATCATAAAATGATGCAAATGTTGTGGCACAAAATGTGATTTCAATGTTGGAAAAACTTACTAAATGTTATCTAAATGGGCTAAAAGCTGTTTAATTGAGAGAAGTTAAAAGCTTTCACTTAGTCGAGTGTGAATAGTTGATGACTTTTCTCTCTCTCTCTCTCTCTCTCTCTCTCTCTCTCTCTCTCTCTCTCTCTCTCTCTCTCTCTATTTTTCTCGTTCCGGAAATTTCCGACCTTTTTCTCTCTCCTCTATTTCAATTATATTTGATGACTATGTTGTGAACGTACTTATGGTGTGCAACAATTTTGCTCATGTGTACATATTTAAAATCATGAATGGTATTTTTAATTCAACGTTCAACCGAACATTGTTGTTAACATCACGTATGTACATTGTGCATTGAGTTGACTTTAACCGAAATTGAAACCGTATTTGCTGTATTTGCGTGAATTTAAATCATGTATAAGGAAATATTTCATGATAATTACAACGAACATATAAATAAACAAAGTCTGAAAATGAGGTGGGCTGGAATTGGTAGTATGTCGAATTGCTTACATTGTATCGCATACCGATTTAAAATATTTAAATGATTGAATGGAATGATATGAATAATTGAGGTGTATGCACGACGATTTAAAATACGAACGAGAGCGAGAAGGAAAACCCATTTAGCCATTGTTTCATACGCGAAACACTATACATTAAGATAAACAACTGTAATTTGAGCCAAAATCGACTGGACGAATGAAATGGACTGTTGTTGGTGCAAAACTAAAGCAGAGTCCATAGAACCCACCAACAAAGTTTGTTTATATTAATTATTATAATGTCCCGCATTCGAAGTACTCACACACACTCAACACACGGCTCGAATGAATTGCGTGTTTGATGCGGTGGAACATAGGGAAAAAAAATACACGATACAGAGAAAATGAGGGATTCGATTCGATTTCATTGTGTTTTTGTTTGAAAATGCTGGTCATTTTTGCAATTTGATGATCGGGGCTGGCATAGGGTGTGGTAAAATAATGATTGCATGAAGACGCATTTTGGAACAAAACTTGTTCAGAATAAAACTCATTCGAAAAAAATGTGCATGTGGTCTGCCAAGATTTGAATATTTTTTGAAAAGATTCAGTACTTGCTTCCAGATTTTTCAGTTCAAATGAACTTAGAGCCATTGACAATGACCTGTTCCTGATATTTAGAGGAGAATTTTCTAGGGGTTTTTTCAATCAAAAAGTAGTGAAAATTTTACTAAATGCATGAAAAGCTTCAGAGAGGAACGAAAAATAGTGGACAAGTTCAAAAATGCATCGATTGAGAGATACTCACTAAGTGAGCCTCACTGAGCACGTTTCTTTGTCTCTGTTTGAAGATTTCTCTCTTTAGAAAGTTCGTAAATCTTCAGAAAGTTCAAGATTTAAGCCTTAGGTCCTTAGATCTTAGTCTAAGACTCCCATACCTTTGAGTCATTCCCAGATCAAATCGCCAGAATCTCATTCAAACCATTTTGGTCAGCCCTAGATTGTGGCTGCAAACAAAGCGAAAAAAAAGTCGGTTCCGAACAAAGTGTGCATACTGTCTGCATTAAGCCTTTTATTTGATTGAGTAAAATGTTCGTGATCAAATTGGCGGACAGTTGAGGCAGCGCTGGAAATCGAGAACTAATAGAGCGAAGAACCGACGAATGAACCATGCTTGTTTTCACCCTTGTCCCCCTTCTCTCCGTTTGCATTCTTTGAATTTTTTGTTCATCGCCTCATCTCTTTGCATTTCGATTCAACCACTACCACCATCGAACACAATGGTTGGGAAAAAAATGTATGTATGTTACTATCACCAGCCTGGAACATGGAATTAACAAGAGTTGAACGATTTTTGCATGGCGATTACGAGCGCGTCTCCGAAGCACACACACACACACACACACACACAAATGCCGAAACAAGAAATTGCTGTTCGTTTTGTATGTCGTGCGGAAAATTCCTTCCTTTTTCCCGTGCACATCACGAACAGACATAAAAGGCCACGTAAGGCATATTCATTACAAACACCCAAACCGACCGAGTCGAATGTTGATGGTCAAAGTTATTTGTGTGCTGTGTATTGGAAACCGAAAAAGCGACGATGAGAAACGGAAAAAAAGTCAAGAAAATAATTCGAATCAAAAAGCACAACGCAAAAAAGCCTATTAGATTTTTGTCCATTCTCCACACAGCAGCAAATAATTTGCCGCTTTTTTCCTCCCGTACAGTCCAATTCGATTTTGTGCACCTCGTTCATTTCGGACAGAGCATTACCGTCGAACAAACGTGATTTTCAGAGGTTGGTTGCACATAAATTTATTTATATAAATTTCAAATATCAAATAAATTTATCCGATATTTTTCATGCGTCGTGTTGTTCTAACGCATTTGCCAGCTATTTATTGCTGGAATGAGATTTTCGTTTTGTTTATTTACCGTTATTTGTCAAAAATTCTGCCACTGTGTCACTACATAGTATATATAGTCCATAAGAAATGTGCAAAGACGAAAATGTTCGCCATTTAGTTTTACATTGTCAATACATTAGTTATGGAGTTTTTTGTTTTGTTTATTTTGTGTTGTTTGTAAACAAATCTGCCTATCTTTTTACATTGCCACTGTACATAGTATATGTCCATATGAAGTGTGTAGATACAATGCAAAAAGATATGCAGATTTGTTCACAAACAAACAAAAAAAACAAAAATCTCCATAAATAATGTATTGGCAATGTAAAACCAAATGGCGAACATTTTCGTCTCTGCACAGTTCTTATGGACTATATATACTATGACACAGTGGCAGACTTGTTCACAAATATCGGTAAATGAACAAAACAAAAATCTCATTCCTGCGATGAATAGCTGGCTGCCAATACAACAGCCGATGTTTCGTTTATGTACTACGAATGCGTCAGAACAACACAACGCATGAAAAATTTCGGATAAATTTATTTGATATTTGAAATTTATATAAATAAATTTATCTGCAACCAACCTCTGGTGATTATTATTTGAATTTTTTACAACGAACCGAATGAATGAATGCGAAAAAAAAGAAATGAACATCCAGTATGGGCAAAGAAGGCCAGAAGTGTGCGCGCGCGCGCGTGTGTGTGTGTGTGTGTGATGTGTGAGAAGAACATGTGGACGCAAAATGAAAAATTGATTGGAGAATTGCACGCGATTTTTTCGCTGCTGCTCTTCTCTTGCTTTGTTTGGGAAAGAGTGAAAGGGAAATTCGATTGAAATTTTAAAACTCGTTTTGCTTCCATTTGAACACTTATTATTCATTATCCAATCAAACTCAAATCGAATAAATGGACTTTTTTGTTTGCTTTGATTTCTCGGAAAAATGATGAACGCGTTGATTTTCCATTCGTTTGCATGCAAAATGCAAAAATCAATAGACAAACAAGACACACAAGAAGCAAAAACGAATTTTTATCATTTAAATAAAATGTAATTGAGATGATTTGGTTCTATTTTTGTCTTTCGTTCGTTCGTTGTGTTTCAGATATCGACTGTTGCACAGCACAGATCGGAACGCCAACACTCGGCGGCGGCGGCAGCAGCGGCGGCTGCCGAACGAACATTAAGAGTTATCGATCGCATTGGACAATCCGTTAATTTGGCTGTGGAACGCTTCGTTACCGTTGGCGAAACAATAGCCGATGATAATCCCGAAATTAAACAGGACATGTACGATGCATGCAAAGAAGCCCGAACAGCAGGTAACATTTTATGGACACACGCACACCCGGCCGTATACACACGGAATTAATTTGATCATATTTAATTTTACATTTCATTTGATGATTTCAATTTTTTATTTGCTTCGATTTTGATTTGGTCAACTTTTTTTAATTTCACTTTTGAATTCGATTTTTTGGAATTTTTCCGGTTTTCATTTCATTTTCTTTGTTTCATTTTTGATTTGAAACTGATTTAACTTTTCTAATTTGAATTTTTTTTTAAATGTGATTTTTCATTTTGGCTTTCATGTCAATCGAATCGAATCGAATCGATTTCAATATGAAACTTGGATCTTTTTTTTTTAAATCCGTTTTCATTTCGATGTTACCTTACGTAAACAGGACTATCAATAGAGCGATTATGCGAAATGGTTGCCAACGAACCACTTGAACCAGACGACACCCTATGCGATCGGACATCAATGGTCCGTGCCGCACGTTCCCTTCTTAATTCAGTGACACGAGTCTTATTACTTGCCGATATCGTCGTTGTAAAACAATTGCTTCTCGCCAAAGACAAGGTAAGTGCCACTTGTGGATCATTGGTTTTTTTAAACCAATTTAAGGCTTAAAACATCAACATGTGTGAAACCCTAAAATAACGATACAAATAATTTTTTTCTTCCGTTTTAGATACCAAAAACCCTGAGCAGACTGGAATCAGTAGCTAATTTTACCGAATTTGTGAAGGCATTTTCGGTGTTTGGTGCGGAAATGGTTGAACTAGCACACGTGACTTGTGAGTTGAACTGACATGTTCAATCAATTTTAAAGCTTATTATATCGATTTTTAAACTAAACTTTTCCGCTCGTTTCAAGTTCGAATTTTAAAAACGAGCTTCAAATTGAAGAATGACTTTGGAATTAAAGCTAAAGAACTTGAAACGACATTAAAGAGTTTTTAATGAGAGAAACAAACAAATGTGAAATGAAACAAAGTTAATGAAGAAATTGGTTAAAAATGATTTTAAAAAAAAACTAATAGGTTTGGTTGTAGAAATCGAATCTAAACTCATTTACTTGAATTCACGAAAGATTTTCTGTCGATTCGGGACTTTTTTATTTGAATTTTCATATTTTGGATTGTTTTTTCTTTCAAATTTTCCTTCATTTCATTCAAATGAATTGAATACTTTTTTTAATCTAATTTGGCATCTCTTTCCACCATAATAAATTCCATAGGCAATCGCCAAAATGATCCAAAGGATGAGCGACGACGAAGTCAAATGGCGGCCGCACGCCAAGTGCTGGAACGATCAACACTTATGTTATTGGTATCATCAAAAACGAGCTTACGTCATCCGGAATGTATACATTCCAAAGAGAATCGAGACACAGTGTTTTGTCAAATGCGCCGCGCAATGGATCTTATTCATTATGTAATTAAGGATAGCATATTGGCGGCATCGCAAAGCGATCGCCGCAGTCGACTGCAACAAATGGACTGGGAAGGCGGTGAACGTGGCACGGCATCGAGTTGTTTACGAGTTTTTGCACGTTTGATGGAAAGCTCACGACCTAGATTTAGTGCATCGGGTACAACGATATTGAGCTCATCAAAACCCACAATTAAGGACATATCATCGACAGGTAAACGATAGTGGCTCTTGAAATTCAGTTCGGTCAAATTTTTGATTTGAAACAAAATTTTCATTTCATTTTTTTTTAATCTGATTTTTTACTTGGACTTGTTGTACAGGACGTCCAATAGACCCAGCGCAAGAAGGACGTGAGCTGATGCGAAGCAACAGTGAACGCGATCGCCACATGACAAATCATCACCATGCATCGACAATGTCGCATCGAAAATCATATCGAGATCCACACGACTACCACAGCACTAGTAATGGTCTGAAAGGTAATTATCTGTCAATAAGCAGGTTTCTTCTTCAAAAATCTCATTTTGATTGCCACTAACACATGTCGTTCGAAAATTTCCACAGATGCTGATTGTGATGGCAGCTATCGAATGAGAGAGTCGTCACAAAGAGATCTAGGCTTTTATACAGGAATATCGATATTATCACCGCAAACCCGTGAAGAAATGCTCTATGCGCTCAATAAGTGTGTGGAAAAAACGCAAGATTTCACCGATTCAGCATACACAACGCACGAGCATCGGGAGAATATTCTGCTATTGTGCGATCGAATGCGACTGGAACTGAATCAATGTCTTCGTATGGCTGTGAACATGGAACAATTTCCAAATTCGCGTTTTGACATCGATGCAGCAATTGATAGTGTACTCAGCGCTGCCCAAGATCTATCCCAACAACTATCGATGGCTGTGGCCGATCAAATACCCGAGCTCAATCACATTATTAAAATAGGCATCGAATTGGTTAATTCACTCAGGAATATCGCCTTAAACCAAGAACTTGATCGACTGCAAGAGTGCGCAGATCGTTTTCACGATTATATTGACCACATTTTAGAAGTGAGTGCCATTTTCGTTTTGTTTCGAGTTCTACCATATCTAATCGGTGTTTTTGTGGTTTATTTGCTCTTTTTGCCTCGTAGGTCTGCAAACTTTTACGTCATATTGCCTTAACTGAAACCCAACAAATTCAAGCGAAATTCACTGAGATCAATTTGCGAATCTATGGACCACAAGTATTGACAGCAGCGCGGGCATTGTCCGCCCATCCAAATAGTAAAATCGCCAAAGAGAATCTCGAAGTGTTTAGCGACATGTGGCAATGGTTATCCGGCGATGTGACGTCTGTGTCGAAAGAAGTGATTGAAACGGTGCAAGCGATTTCAAAACCAGATCGAACCGAATATTTAAGCTTACCTCGACCCGGCGTGAGTGTTATTTACAAACTGGGAATAGTTTGACTTATTTTTTAATTTCTTGTACTCAATTTTTAAGAAGAAACAAATTCACTGTCCTCTTGAAAAATTGATTTTTTTTTCAGAAAATTTGAAAAAAAAAATGGATTTTAACAAAAAAAAAAACTAGAAAAATGACTAACGAAAGAGAAAGTACACTAAAAAATTCCCCTTTTTTCCAACAATCACAAACAGAAACACGGTACCACATCGAAACCCTTGAAAGCCGTACGTTTGGATCAGGAAGAGCAAGAGAAAATCGCCAAGGCTGGCCTCGAAATGAAGATGTCAGCGAATGAAATGGATGCCGAAACGGATAAATGGAATACATCCGATGAGAATAACGACATCGTGAAACGAGCGAAAAACATGTCAACGATGGCCTTTTCCATGTATCAATTTACAAAAGGTGAAGGTACACTGCGCACCACCCAAGATCTATTCACACAAGCCGAATATTTTGCTGAAGAAGCGAATCGTTTGTACAAAGTGGTTCGGACATTTTCGTATCAAGTGCCGGCCGGTGATTCAAAGAAAGAGCTTCTCGATCAGTTGGACGTTGTGCCAACGTATGTGCAAACATTACAATTCACCGTGAAAGATCCGACGGTGGGTAAGGCGGCTACATTTGTTAAAGTCGATCACGTTATTCGTGAAACGAAGAATTTAATGAATGTCATCAATAAAGTGGTGACCACCTGCTTCGATTGTGCCAACAAGGTAAGCGTGACATTGCAACGAAATGATGGATAAAAAAAAGAAATGAACACTGTGCTGTTTGTAGAATGATCTCGAAACTTTTCACCTTTTTGGATCAAAGATCTTCAAATCGACGAATGAATTGCGTGTCTTTATAACGTTTTTTAATTTATTTTGATCACTTAACCTCTTTTGAATTCGTTTTCTAGTCAAAAAAACTTTCAAAGACGTTTTTATCAGTTCCCATGTCGAAGATTTTGTTTTGAAATGAAAATTCCAACGATTTTCTTCGAAGTGAATATTTTTGTCCATACTAATCCAATAACTCTGCCCAAAATTTCAGTATAAACTGGACTTCAGTGGATTGGCGGGACGTTCAACGACGGGATTGCGTGACGATGATGGTGGCAGCGGTGTAGCTGGTGATTCAAAGGGTTCATCGACAAGTACGGAGGCGAGCATGTGACAGTACGGGATGGCCCGACGGGGCAAAGGTGACGCACGTAGGACGCGTGTATCTTTTCTGCTTTTCTAGAATCAGAAGTAGGTCCATGGCGTGCAATCTTAAACTCATCATCACCCTCATCAATATTATCGTCAACAATACCTGCTGACAATCCAAAGTCCTCCAATCCCCATCGTCTCGCACTAATTGAAGGGTTGATGGCGATCTATATCTGGGATATGCTTTTACATGCCATTTTAAATGCATTGGAGACAATATTATTTAATAAAAAAAACTCATTCATCTACACACGTACAGCCGACATGGACCTGACTACCCTTACTAAGGGTAGTCGAACAACAACATCAACAACAACAACAACAACAACAACAAAACATTTTATATCTATTATAAACAAAGAAAAACAAAAGAACAAGAAGACAAAACAAAAACTCTTTAGGGGCAAGCAACATATATGTTTGTGATATATAAAAACAAATATGAGATAAAAATTATTTAGATGAAACAAACCTATCAAATTGTGATGACAACAAACAACAACAACAAAAACCAACAAATTGAAGATGTAACAAAAACAAATGAACAAACAAATAAAACGCAAAAAAAAATATTTATTCGAACAATGAAAAAATGTGCGCCGAGCAGAAGTGCATCAACATACATACATATTCACACAATTTATAGCTATAAAATGTATAGTGAAGTAGTTGTATGCATTTTGAGTATGCTCTCATGACAATATCTCTACTAATCATTAAAAAAACAACTACAAATCGAGAATATATTTGAGAACAACAAACAACAAAAACAACCGAGATTAGAATTTAATATTAGAAACTTGAAGTATTTAAACCAAAACAAAGAAGAAAAAAGTGAAAGATTTTTTAGTAGACACACATGTTTAACGTGTAGCGTGTATATTTGGGAGAAAGACAAATCCAAAACAAACAAAAATCTCTTTCTATATCCACCTTTTTTTTCTCTTTCCCCTACTCAATCAAGATAAATAGATGTAGTTAGACCAAAACACGGCTCATTACACACACACTCAGAACAACAAAACCGACAACTAAAATGAAAATTCATATATTATATATATATTACAAATGTAAGTGGAATGTATCAAGGGTAATTTAATTATTAACAAATTGTCACATATTTATCTGATACTGAACCAATTATATAGATGATTCAATCAGAACCAATGTACGATTATTATGCCGGAATTCGGTGGAGAAAATTAAACACGAATGAAATCATGCAAACAACCTGGGGCCTGTTGCACAGTACTGTTACAATTTTTGTAAATTGTAATTGTAATTGTAAATACAATTCGTTGTAAAATTGTATTTACAATTCTACAATAATTGTAAAATTGTATTTACAATTCTACAATAATTGTGAACTTGTATTTACAATTGTATTTACAATTTTACAATAATTGTAAAAT